AGAGTTTGAGGCTGTTTGTGTTTAAATATTGATAGAGAATATAATATAAAAAATTTTATATGTACTCAATCTCAATACATTTTTATCAGTAAATTCTTAGAGCACCTTGTGATAGCAAAAAAGCATAATAGGACAAGGACAGAAATGGTAAAAGAGGAATAAAGTGTGTCACTTAAAAGTGGAGAAGTTCTACATTTTTGAAAACTATTAATTTCCAAACAATACAAGTAGAGCAGCCTACATATAATTGACACTCATTTTCTATTTATTACAATGCAATTTATATCTTTTGTAACCAAAGGTTTTTGTGTGTGAGCTTGTATATGTGAATTTAGACAATAGTATTGGTTTATTTGCAATGTTAGAAATCCCTCAGAAGTGTACCTGAGTTTTCCTAATTGTATACTTGATATAAGATACTTAATATCTTATGGAAGTAGAGAGTTCAACTAGTTGTGTGTTAGTTGCCTTATCTTTCTACATATTTTTATGTCTGTTTTAGATGGCAGTTTTTCATAGAAAGAAGGCCAGAATCTGCTTAAAATTTGAAAAACATCATATACATGTGAGCACCAAATATATATGATTTTAAGGTGACAATGATGTGACAGTTATAACTATTATTCATAAGGTACTCACAAATCATGCTAAGATTTAATAAAAATAATCTGAACTACATAATGAAAAGGCTAATGAACTCTAAAGAATGCAGAAGTGGAAGACTTAGTTAACTTTGCCCATTTATCAAATGAGTCATAATGTCACCAAATGTGTGTATAGGCCAAATGTCACCAAATGTGTGTATAGGCCAAAATCTTTCTGTAATTTGCAGTGTTTTATAGCATATCTCCTATCATAGAACTTTCCCTATAAAATTCATTTGTGTTCACTATACATAAAGTACTTTTACTTGCAGACATAAAGGCAATTTAGTAAAAAGAGATAATTAAGTGAAAACACGACATATACTGAAAAGTGACAAGGGGCTATGATGTGAGAAATGTGCTTCATAGAAGACGTTTATGTATATGTGTATCACTGTATACATATATCTAATCTCCACACCAACCTGTGTATCTGTCTTCTGTCTATCTAGTCTATCTAGATTGTCACCCCTTTTAAAGTTTAACATGTCTGTTTCTATCCTTTCATTTCAGTTTGATACCTTATTACTTGAAGAGACTATAAGGTAAATGATCACTGGAAGAATGAGGCATTTTTGGAGATAGATTTTTTTTTTTCCAAACCCCTTATTCTGATCATCCTATTTGTTTGTCAAAGAACAAGTATCAAGTAAACTTTTTTAGACAACCAAACACTTAAGCAATCCATGGGGTCAGTTTTGGTTGTTATTGTTTTGTTTTGTTTTATTCTGACAGGTTTTTCCTGTGGCCTTGAACTTGCCATCCTCCTGCCTCAGCCTCCCAAGTACTGAGATTACAGATGTATGCCACCATGCCCAGCTAATTTTATAGCACACATTTTTATTATGATAAATAAAATACAATAACATATGTATGTCAATATATTTTTTAAAATCCAAAAATATTTTTGAAAATAACTGAATATTTTCCATCATAATATTTCTTTCTCAAGTTACAAAATCACATCATATTAATCTGTATCAAGGTGTCACTATGGGAAAAAGAAAGGATGGCTTTGTTTTTCAGTGTTTAATATGAAGGGTTTTTTTGTTCTGTTTTGTTTTGAGAAAAGAATTAATTATACTGGATTTCCCTTCTTTTTTAAAATTATGATTTCTTTTTCACAATTAACTTCTCATTTCTTTATAGCATAAATTGCCAAACTAAAAAAGTTTAAACTTCATTAAAATTGACTATTAAAATAAATTGTGAACCATACCTATTAATCTTTTCCTGTTCTCAAAGACATTTTGTCCTACAAATTTGTTTTAAAGCAGTTACTTATATAAATACTTGCTTTTATTTACAGCAAAAGCAATTTTTTAGGAAGGAAAGTGATTTTTTATTATAATTTTTAATTAGAATAGATTCATTTTACGGGGGAGGGATTCATAGTGACAATTCCAATTTGAATCATATTGGACATTATTTACGTTGCCCCTATCATCTCTCCCCCTCAGCCCCCCCCCCACCCCACTTAAAGCAATTGCAAGAGGTTTTTTAGTTCTGTTTCATAAGTTGACAAGTTGTGTGATTATGTGCTGGTCAGAACAAGCAGTGCCTTCACACAGAGGCTGTAGCAGAACAGAGCAGCTCCCACAGGAGGCTTTCATCTTCACTTTTCTTGCCATCTCCTTCCTATTTCCTGGTATCCTTTCTTTCTCTATGATGTTCTCCCAAGAGTTTTTCTCTATTCTGTATTTTCCTACCTTCTTCTTTCTCTGCCTTCTTCATTTCTTTTCTCTTTGCCTCTTTCTTAGCAACTTCAAAAAAAGGGAAGTAATAGGCAATCTTAAACAAAATGCTTTTTTTTCCCCAATTTAGTAAGTAACTTTTGAGTATACTTTAGATTTATGAACTTTTTTTTATAATTTACTTGTTTGAAATAAGAAAATCAAGCAGAAACTGGAATACTAGGCTTATTATTCTTTCAGAGAACTTTTCTCTGTTGCTGTTTTCGTCTATATTTATATATGTTCAGAAAAACTCCTATGTGAGTTGCTACAAGCTGTCCATATATTAATATAATTGCTATTTATTACTGTTACTATTATCTAATATTGCATATAGCTATAAATTTTTTGAAATGGTGCTTGTGTTATATAATTATATTCTACAATATGCTTTTTACTAGTTTAGACAACAGATATTTATATGTATGTTATTTCCAATTCTTTAGTGGTTATTATTTATTTTTAATCATATCCTTAAAACATTTCAAAAGTCTTTCACTTACAGCAGTGTGATATTGATAAGATGATCAATAATGAAGTATTCAGAACCCTGCCATGAAATTTTTAACTACATTGGGCAAAGCTCAAATTTCTTTGCCTGGTAAATAAGAGGTGTGGAAATATGAAGTTGGAGTAAAATGAAATCTGATGTCTCTGGAAGGCTATTGAATAAAAATATACTACTTTAATATTGTTGTTATTATTTATCTAATATAACATATGTAACACTGTTGGCCATTAGTGCTGAAGAACTTAAGATGATGGATGGCTGTGACACAGACCACTAGACACTTGATTAGGACGACCTTTCCTTTCTCTCTCTGCAAGGTGCCTGTGTCTGTGGCCATGATGACCCCCCAGGTGATCACCCCTCAGCAGATGCAGCAGATCCTCCAGCAGCAGGTCCTGTCTCCTCAGCAGCTCCAAGCCCTCCTCCAGCAGCAGCAGGCCGTCATGCTGCAGCAGGTAATGTGTATTACCTGCTTTGGTGCTGCAGCATGGACTAGAGGTGTGCACTGCTCTTGACGGCACCATGGGCCTATTTGACAGCTTAGACTCCATTTAAAGGCACCACCTGTCAACATGCTAGCACATGGATGTCTCATTTTAGTTACAACACTACACAGAAAATTTAAGTTACTTAGTCTTTTTAAATTTATTAATATCTAGAATAAGAGCAAGGGGATGTGTAATTTGAAAATGGAATAAATTCAAATATTCCATTTTTTCAATATTCAAGTGCTCAGGTGCATTTGCTTTGTATACTTGCAAAGATACTGATCACCCAGCTGTTGCTTTCAGAACTCTAGCACTCCTCTGAATTCACAGAAATGTGAAATTTGAAGTGTTAACATGAAGAGAGTAACTTCTTACATTTACTTTTCCAAAAAAATGCTCATAATTTAGGAAAAGGAAAATCTGCTTACTAGGATATGTTAGGCAGCTAAGCCAAAAATCCACGAAATTTATCTTTGTTCAATAACAAAAATCATGGTACCAATAGGCACCTTGTCAGAGGCTTGAGTGTACATATGTCACTGTATATACTTACCTTCACAGAGAAAATAATGTGCTTTGCTGAATTTTATATAGTTAATTACTTCGCTATCATCTTTGATGACTACTACAGGCTAGTTACTTTTATTTCAGTGTCTGACATTGTTCTGAATGTCTGATCAGCCTGACTTTATGGAGCAAACTTTAAACTCATACAAGTGCTAGAATATAACCTATTTTTATATGCTAGTAGAACTTCATGTGTAATAACATGGTATTAAGTTGACTCTGGTCCTTTAGAACACAGATTTTCTATACTCTTTTGTTTGGGATTTTTTTGGATTCTGGACTGGGAAATTTCAGTGCTGCCTTGGGGGGAAAAAATGTATGTAGAGCTGCCTCTTTGAATCAAATGCATAGTTGTTTTTTTTTTTTTTTTTGGTGAGGTGAATCCTAATGGCTACTCTACCATGTGCCAGTCTAGAGGAGTTTAGGAGATTTATGCTACATGAAACTTTTGCCTTTATTTATTAAAGTCAAAATGGTTTATTCAGCAACAACTACAAGAGTTTTACAAGAAACAGCAAGAGCAGTTACATCTTCAGCTTTTGCAGCAGCAGCAGCAGCAGCAGCAACAGCAGCAGCAGCAACAGCAACAGCAGCCACAGCAGCCACAGCAGCCACAGCAGCAGCAGCCACAGCAGCCACAGCAGCAGCCACATCCTGGAAAGCAAGCGAAAGAGGTAGGGTCCAGCTATCCCATCGATACGTAATAGCATGAGGCGGAGAAGGGGCTTTGAAAGGCAAGTGGAGTCTCAGATCTTCCTCTAGCAAGGCTCTTGCTGTCGAATATGCAGTGTTACATTTTTACTGAGCTTAGTAACAGTGACAGTGAAACTCTCATGCTCTCTTTTTTTTGTAGCATGGGACTTGAGAGTCACAATCCTGTGCTGCTCTCTTCTAATGTTCACTGATGAATCACAGTGTACAAAGAGCCAGCTGGGTGGTGCACAAAGTACTGGTTATCTTTTATTCACGGAGAATGGAAGTTGGGGAGCGAACCTTATTTTCCTCAGTGATGCAGCTCAGAGAACATGCATGCAAATTTAGCCCATGATTGGGGTGGGGAGACTAGAGGAGAAACTGGTTGAGCACAGATTTCAAAGTCACAGGCCCCTGATTAATGAACTGCTACTGTAGGTTTGGAGTGGCGAGTAGAAAGTTACAGTTTGATATGCTCATAAATCAAACTGACAAGCTGGCTTCTCAGGCCTAGCTTGCACTTGTCAGCAAACTGCATCAAATATAAACATAATACAAACAAAACATGTTGAAGTAGTTAAATTGATCAGCAGGTATCAGAGCTGTTGTCTTCGTGCTGCCCATTATGCAAACGTACAGGAAACAGTTTTGACCTCCTGAGGCTTTGTTTCTGTTTGGATTTGTGAATAGAATTTCAGACAGCCATCAACTACAGAATAGAAATTGCTCCCTTATTTCTCCGGAGGCTTTGGGCAATCCACATGACTTGCTCCATTATGCAGTCTGTTTTCCAGTGAGTGCATCAGAAGTTTCTCTTCTCCCCAAACTAAAAAGGAAAGGTCTTCCACAGCAGCCTGTCTTCCTCTGAAGTGTGACTGCCTTCTCCTACCCTCCCGAGTCTAAAGAACTTGGGTTTGTGTTGTAATGCCTCACAAAATTGGAAAGTTGTACTTTTCTTTATAATAAGGGCACATTTTTTTTTTTGCCTTGCACACAATTCTGCCTTTAATATATTCCAACAAGAGAGGAGAGGAGGAAAGAGAGCTAACAGGCTTGTCCTGTGAGGGCTCCATTCCAGTTTACTAATAGATCACCAGAGACCACATGCATGGACCTCTGTGGTTCAGACTTATTCGGTTGGAAACTAAACAAGGGTATTGTGGAAGCTGACCATTCTGTAAAGCGTTACTCCTTTTGTCTATAGAAGTTTATTATTATCTGCAATAAACTGATTATTAAAAGTCTAAAACTTTGTTACATGCTGTCTCTTGACCTTGTTCTGTACCCTCAATGCAAGTTCCTTGGTTCTCTGCTGCTGTTTAATATTTAAGAGAAAAGCAACAGAAAATCTAGAACCTGATCACATTCTGCCCCTGAGCTTTGACCACAGGCTGGCCAAGAACACAGCAGGGATGACAGGAGGGTGCTTTTCTCTGCATGAGAGCAGTGTGCATGGCCCCTGTTCTCTGCCGTTTACTGGGTTGGGTTTTCTGACACCAGCAGCAGCAGCAGCAGCAGTTGGCAGCCCAGCAGCTTGTCTTCCAGCAGCAGCTTCTCCAGATGCAGCAACTGCAGCAGCAGCAACACCTGCTCAGCCTCCAGCGTCAGGGACTCATCTCCATCCCTCCTGGCCAGGCGACACTTCCTGTCCAATCGTTGCCTCAAGGTACAGACAAAACGTTGTGTACTCTTCCTTTCTGTCCTGAAGTTTCTACCATTTCATGGCCTGTCTGTCTTAGACCTTGACTTTGGCCTTCAAGTCATTTTTAAAACATGACTGTTAACATGGTCTCATGTCCCCTTTTCTTTCTTTTTTTAAATTGTGGTGTTGGTGGGGGTACATGACCTGTTTTCTTGAAGCTAAGAAGTTTTATCCACACACTCCTTTCAAGTGTTTTGTTAGATGTCAAATGTATATTTATTAGTTATGGACAGTAAAATTCAAGCACTACAGGAGGATATGCAAGGAACGGGGTTCTGGGAAGAATAACAGCTTTTCATTTCACATAAGTGAGCTGATAATGAATTTTGGCGAATGGCTAATAAGATAATAAAAGTTTCCATGTATAAAAGAGAAGCTTTCTGTTGCCATAGAACAAATTTTCTAAGTCATGCTTTATGGAACCCCATTCTGTTCTACGGATCCTATTTTCTATAAGATAATATTGTGTATATATTTATTATGAATTATACTTTTAAAGAAACTGTCAGTTGTACTCTTATTTGGTTACTCTAAAGTAATTGTATGCATGCATAATCTTAACTTTTGGGAAAGAATTTTAAGTAAAATTTTAAAAAGGTAAGCAAATGACTATGTTTTAAAATTCTCAATTCAGGTAAAAAGTCATGTATCATTAAACGTCATAAAAGATATTCTAATTTGGATTTTGCTGGAACCAAGTTCATTAATCTGAGTGAAATTTAATTCAAGTCAATTATGTCTGTCATAGGGGAGTTTACATTGTAGTAGTATTTGTTGAAAATTGTACTGTCTTTCTAGAACATACTCAACATACTGAACTGAAAAGCAAGAACAATTAAATATACAAAAACTAAAGTTAAGCAAAAATAAAAGCCAGTATTTGAAATGCATCTGATCATTGGTGACATGAAGTTAAGAATATTGTGATGCACATTTTTCTGTTTTTCCTTATCAAATTACTGTCTTTGTGGCTTATTTGCCACAAATTTCCCTCACTTGACTTTAGATCTTCAAGTTCACCTGACTAAAGCACTCCCAGGAAATCAGAAAGGAAAAAGTTTACATAGTGAGAGAAAAATATGGCAGCAAACCCACTTTTCTGAGTTATTCCAAAGAGAACTGGAATGAGCCACAATGTCATCAGAAATGAATGCTCTATTCATATGTTATTGTTCACTGGAAAAATAAATACAAGACGAGGACAAATGAAGCAATAAGATTAAAAAAACAAAGCGTGTATAAATTAATTCAGTGCAACATGGATTTCTTTGAAACTAAACTGAAACAAGTTTATCTCATTGATTTTTTTGTCACTAAAATTTAAATAAAATCTGTATTTAGGATCTAATTATATGAGAATCTCAATGGGAAAATATGGTTTACCACAATCTTATTTTAGTTAAACCATTCAAACATCTCAAGAAGTTTAAATTTTGGTCCTAGAAGCATGATGTAACTTATTTAAAATATATTTATTGAAATGCAGTCTTTGAAAACAAGCAGAAAACCTATCAAATAGTAAAATTTATTATGATATAGCTATGCTAACAGCTTTCAAATGAAAATTTCTCTTACCTCTGATGCTTTCTGTGGCTAGAATTATCTTTTTTTCCTGTTTTTACTCTCCATAGGACATAGGACAGATAAAGTGCACCGAATAGAGAACATATAGGAAGAGAAAGTGTATTTGAAAGTAAATTTGGTTTGAAAAGAAAATTTATACTTTTTTGAAAAGGGGACTGAGTCTTACCATATAGTCCAGGCTGACCTCAAACTCACAATTCTACCTCAGCCTCTCAAGTGCTGGGATTACAAGTGTGTGACAACATACCTGGAAGAAAATTTGTACTTTAAATAAAAAAGACTAAATCATGTTTCCATTAAAAGATGAAGAAATCCGTTCAAATAATGTAAGGTGGAAACTTTAGTTGGGGACCAGAGGCATAGGTCAAGTGACAGAGTGCTTGCCTACAGGTCCTCAGTATAATCCCCAGGACAAAAGCAAACAAAAACTTGTTTGGTTCATTGACCAAAGTTCTTATTGCTGCCATGTAACTGACACAAACTGGAGTCATCATATTTTTCAGCATTTAGGTGATTAAATGTGAAAAATATCATCAGAACACCCTTCAGTCAAACACAGGCAGAGCATGTCAGATACATCAACCAGCTACAATAAAAGGACATATTCCACCTTCAATATCTGACAGTTCTGCGTTCATGGAGTGCATGTCTATGGATTCAACCAACTACTAATTTAAGATATTTGAAAAAATAAAAAGTATCTGCATTGAATACATATAGACATTTTTTGCCTTGTCATTATTCCTTATATAGCATAACATATTTATATGGCATTTAGACTGCATTAAATATTATAAGTAATATACAGATGATTTATGTAGGATATGTTCAAATGCACCATCATTTTATATCATGGATTCCAGCATTGCGGATACTACCCACAGATCCTGCTAAAGCTGTTCCCCCACAGATGCTGAGGGACCTATAATAATCTAGAACTGTGCTGGAATCCCAAAATCAGAGTGGGAAAAGTGAAAAAGCAATTGTTGGGTAATGAAAGCCCTGAATCCATTCTGTCTTAGTTACTTACTTACTGGTTATTTCAGGTAAACATATTTTGAATACTTGTTTCTCAGTTCACTATGCACCAGGATTTTTGGTTGGTTGGTTGACCATGAAAAATAGTCATATGAAAACCAAGTGGGATTATTGTATAGTGATGGATGATGTTTTCATTGTCTTTAAAAATATGCCATATTTTATTTATCCCTATGAGGTAGCATAACTGCTTTAGGCTACTTTAAAGTTACAACTTCTTAAACTGCATAAAAAGGTATATAAATATCAGAAATAAAATTATAGACTTCTGATAAGATTTTATCAAACATTTTCTCTAAAGTTGTGTAATGCCTCTTATCATTTTAACATAGGTTATTTTAAACAGTAAACATTTTAAGTCACTATGAATATTCTTATAATAAAAGGTTTTAATGTAAAATAGGCAATTATGATGTTTAAGTATATGTATAGTTTTATATAAATATGGTAAGTATACAGAAGTCAAATAAAAAATGATGGACTTAAGAGTCAATCTCAAATAACTTGCTGATCATAAAGCTATTTAATTTATAGCTAGCATCATTCATAATCAGTGAGTAATTTAATTTAGTGGCATATTTTAATTACCTGGTACCATGGTCTATTGGTTATTAAATGGAAATTGTTCAGGCTCTTTAAAAATTCATGTGTCTTTAACAGCAGATAAAAGTTTATCTTAATATATTCACAGGTTAACTATAACTAATTATTCCCTCTTATCCAATGTTTTGTTTTCCTTAGTTATAGTTACCTTCAAATAACTGTGGTCCAAAATATTAAGTAAAAAATTACAGAAATAAGCAATTCATGAGTTTTAACTGCTCATTATTTTGAGCAGCAAGATGAAATCTCACACTATCCTCTTCCACCTCGCCTGGGATGTGAATCATTCCTTTGTTCAGCATGTCCACACTGTATATGCTACATACCCATGAGTTACTTAAGCCTCCTATTGGATCAATTGTTGTGGTATGGAAGTGCTTGTTGTCCTGTATTCCTTCTTTTATTTAATAGTGGCCCAAAGCAGGAGAATAGTGATGCTGACAATTCAGATATGTGAAAGAGAAGCTGTAAGGTTTCTCCTGTGAGTGAAAAGGTGAAAGTTCTTGACTTAATAAAGGTAGAAAAATGTCATATGGTGAGGTTGCTAACATTTTACTGTAAGAACAAATTTGCTGTGAAATTGTGAAGAAATAAATCTGCACTACTTTTGCTGTCACACCTAAAACTGCAAAAATTATGGCCAGAGTCCAATAATAAGTGCTCAGTTAAGATGGAAAAGGCACTAAATTATAGTCTGTACTATCTGTAGTTATAGACATCCAGTGGGGATCTTGGAACATGTAACTACTGAAATATATGTGTTGAAATTTTTATTTCATTTCAACATGATACATATTGCTGAATTAGTAATTTATTGAAAATATAATATTTTCATTATCAACCTGAAAGACAAATAAAAATGTTAAATTTTAGTCAGTGTTATTTTGAATTAACACCTTTAGAACTAGACAAGCTGGAAATCAAGGAGCTGTTGAATAATACAGAAAATCAAAATTTTTAAAAATGTAATAATACCCTTTATGTTGAGTTGGGAATGTGCTGAAGATAGTCTTTGGACTCATTATTTAGTCAGAATCAGCTATTTGACTTTGACTTCATTCTCTGCTTTTAGAAGTCAAAGTAGCCAACTGCCTACTTCACTGCTCCTGACATCCTGATCTTTTTCTGAACCAGTGATCCTGGGCTTGCATAGATCACCATGTGTGTAACCATGGTAATAGCACAAGCAATGTGAACAACACGCAGACTTATTATTCAAATACCAGAAAGTTTTCCAGTTGTAACTTGGAGGAAAATCTCCTTTGGGGCTTAATATACTAAAACTCCATCAGTTAGTTGAAATTTAAATATACTTTTTTTATTACAAGAATAAAACTTTGCAAAAGTTGCCTTGAATGCTGGTAATTTTATGTATAGGAACTAATTTGTAAATAATTAAATGCATAGAGAAATATCGAGTGTATAGAGTTAATTTTTGAGAAAATGTAAATAAGTTTGAACTTAAATTATATCATAATTCTAATCATTATAGACTTGGTTAGTGAACTGGAATGAATGGATTTTTTTTATTTTTGATGTTACACTCCCAACCTAAAATGAATTTAATTCCATTTAGCTCATAAGTCTTTTCTTAAAAGTTCTGTTTTGCAGTTTTTTTGTATCTTGACTAAAAGACTCAAAAGCAGAATGCCATCCTGCCATATTAAAATATCATATGATAAAGACATAAAAATAGTGTTTCATATTAGAATTTCAAACTTAAAATGCAGACTATAAAA